TTTTACTCTCCCTCTATATTCAAAAATGTGGCGTAAAATGAAATGTATGGGTGTGGCAATGCACTCACTGCATGAAATTGGGTCTCCGGACATCTGTCAACCGTGAGGCTAGGCAATTCAGCGTTTTGTTGTGCTGTCTGGGAGCTCTCACACAAGCGCACTATTACAGAATCTCCGCTTTCTTTACCTCCTTTAAAAGGCTTAGTCCCACTACCACAAACGTCTGCTTTTCCTTCTACACTCTCACCCCCTGGTTGACACTTCTAGTAGGAAGCATTGTAGAATAAGAGTGAAGGAATGGGGACAGAAGGAGTGAAAACTCGAGTGGCTATTAATTATGCCGAAATGGGAACTCTGGATCATTCCAAGGCTTATGGCTCGCCTACCCTTGAAAACAATCTTTGCCTCCACAGCATGTATCAGGAACTAGAATTTTAGCAGCTTTCAATGCAGAGCAAAAGGAAGTTTTTGAAGGACCGATTACCTCGTGTACAGCGGCCTTTAGGCAGCATTCCCAGGTCTAGCGCAGTTTTTCGAAAACAGCTTTGCATTATGACCACTTTTAGGCATTAGTTGTCCTTTAGACGAGAAGATCAAATCGTTAAAAGTAAAGAACTGATACCTTGTTCTCTGGAATCCTCTCAATAGTGGTGCTGATATTACCAATAGCGTAACTCTTTCGAACCCTTAAATATTGGAAAGGCGAGGACAACAACCTCAAATGGTGTTGAATCATGCAAAACACCAGGATCTCGAACAATTCATAGTTTAAAACGATGGTACAGGAAAGGATCGTTCAAAAACAACTGATCCAAATGGTGAAACAATCAAATGGAAACAATGAGATCCTATTCAAGATCCTTGTTTAAGGATACCCTCCGTATAGGGTGCGCTTCCCAACATTGAACAAAAACAGACAATCATAAAACGTAAAACCAAGCTGGCTGCATCAGGCAACCATAAACAAACACAACGATAAAACATGAACAATATAACAACCAAAAGAAAAGAAGCTAAAGTAAGAGGATATAGGTAAACTCGAAATACCTGCAAGACTTGAAATGCAATACAGACAGGTAAAACAGTTATCTAAGTTTAGCGACACATATGCACCAACTGAATAATGAGCACAATGCGAAAAAGGTGCCAAATTTTCTTCGTGACGGGAGTGCTTTTTCAATGAAAACTCGCTCACGGACTCGACTGGAAGAACGGGGCACGCGATGAAAATTTACTGAATCGCACAGTGGATTTTACAAGACGCTGAAGCGAATGGATTAATTTTCGAAGGGCACTCGAATTATGAAAAGAATGTTGTAAGTCTTTTGAACGAAAAGGCGATATTGGCACGCTCAAGGTGAGCATATGGCTGGGGTTGCGGCCAGCCGCAATACCTTGTAGGTAAAGAGTCCTAGCTGTTCAACAAAATTTTTCATGAGTTCTTTCACTGATTTTTATCTCTTTCTACTTTCTAA